TACCTACTCAATTCCCATCCAATTTCTCAACTCTCTCACATCCCCTGAGCTCAGATTTTACTCAATACCCATCTCAAATCCCTTTCCTTTTTCTTAAAATTCGCACTCATTCACAACCCAGATCCGATCAAACACCTTTTCTCAATCACTCTTCCCAGAAACTTGGATTCGATTTCTACCCAAAACCCAGAATTCTGCGCCTCTTTTGGGTTCTCCGACATGGCTTTGCCATCACACAAAGCTGTGACATTGACCCACGTGATGTACCAGAGGGGTGACAAACTGGGTTACTTCCTGGCATGGATTTCTCTGGTCCCAGTCTTCATAAGCCTCGGTGGGTTCGTCTCTCACTTCGTCTTCCGCCGCGAGCTCCAAGGCATGTTCTTCGCTCTGGGCCTCATAATTTCTCAGTTCGTCAACGAGTTCATCAAGACATCGGTCCAGCAAGCTCGGCCCGAGACCTGCGCTCTGCTTGATATGTGTGATTCACATGGATGGCCTTCGAGCCACTCTCAGTACATGTTCTTCTTTGCTATCTACTTCACCCTCATGACGTATAAAGGGATTGGGCTCTGGCACACGAAGAACAAGTTTGCTGTGATTTTTTTGCCTTGGGCTTTGGCTTTGCTCACTATGTATTCGCGGGTGTATTTGGGTTACCACACTGTGGCTCAGGTGCTTGCTGGTTCTGCTTTGGGAGTTTTTCTTGGGGCTCTGTGGTTTTGGGTTGTGAATTCTGTGCTTTACTCTTACTTTCCGGTTATGGAAGAGAGCTGGTTTGGGAGAGCGTTTTACATCAAGGACACTTCTCATATACCCAATGTGTTGAAGTTCGAGTATGACAATGCCAGGGATGCTAGGAACAAACTGGCTGCCAAGAGTAACTGATTGATGAAAACTCATCTAGGTATGTGGAATATGAACATGTCTTTACGTTTTAAATTCCTGAATTGTGCTACTGAAAATTGTGTTGTGATTTTCGCCAACAAACAAATTGTGTTATGATTGGTTCTACCTTGGGTTTAACTTCAATTCAAGATGTAATTATATGTAATATCTTTTTATAGAAATTGTTATAGCAATCCTAGTGTATGCAGAACCTCAAAGGTTATAAAGATAAGCTTCACAGAATACCTCATTTGATATTAGATTTATCTTACTGCATTACATTGTATATTTTTGTGTGATTCATAACCCTTTAGCTTCAGAGGGGGTCTAGCAGCAAAGATGACCTGTAGTGTATTATATATATAAACCACACTGATTTTTGTGACAATCTTGGTAAGTGATAGAGCATTTCGTATGCTTTTTGATTGTTGAGGGAAAATGATGTAGCACCAACTAGACAGTTATCAGGACAAGAATCAAAGAGAACAAGAGGCTTGAAAGAAAAGGTAGAAAAACTGAAAAAGATGAATTAAGGAGAAATGTAAGTTAAATTTTTAATTTTCTACAAGAAAAATGTAAATTTAATTCATTAACAAGTTTGCATAACCTGAATAGAATAACCTAGCTATAGAGGCCACTACAATTTGGATAAACATTTGTAAATTAATCTAAGATAATCACTAAGGAAATACCTACAATAAAAACAGAAAACTTCATCAAATGATCCAACTTATTGTATCTTCTATATTGAGAAGTACCATAACTGAAATGACCTATGTTTACAGTAAGGGGGTCGCTAAACATAGATTGTAGAATTAGTTGGGGACTAAGAAATCAGGTGAAGGCAAGATGGACCTACACCTCCTGTACGATGCTGCTAGGCTTTTCTCAGCATCCAAAGCCTTTTTATAGTCCCATCTATGACCCTTTTTGCGGGCTTATTTAGAGATTGAAATTGTTACCAGTAGTTGATTAATAAGTTAGTATGCATTATTTTCATGGTATTAGTTTTATTATTTTCTTTCTTGTTGTCCTCTGTATTTTGGGGTTTTTTCTTTGTTTTTGTGGAATATGGTTCACTTGATCATGACTCGTGATCATAGTTATAATTGTGACTCAAGAAGGATGTTCAATGTAGTTTGTATGCTGAAATGGGTCTTCACCCTTTCTCATGCTCTCTTATCAAATACAATGGTGATTCTTTAGTTGAAGTGTTGAAAATGTAAGTGTTTAAAGATTGGTTCCCAACAATTTAGCAGAATAGATAAATAATTTTTTATTAGGGTTTAGGATAAGAGTGCTGAAAGTTATGTTCCATAATCCATTAAGTAATTGCATTTTGTTTGAAATGGTGAAATGTGGTAGTGTGCCCATTTGTTCATATTATGATTTAGGTGTTTAATAAGTCTGCCGAGCTGAATGTGGCAAGTCAAGAAAGATTTTTATTAGAAACGGATGATTTTGTGACAAGTTAGTGTAGTATCAAGGACCTAATTGAGGAATTTTAGTAATTTGCTTTGTTCATCTACTATGGGGTGAAACCATGGGAACAGAAATCCAAGTTGAATATACTGTAGGCTTTTTAGATAACGATAATGGCGTATGAGTTGAAGATACTGAGGCTATTTGTTCATCTACTATATTATGAGTTGAGTTCTAAGAAATATATAATGGCATATCTTATATAATTACATAAATGAAATATGATTATTGGGTCTGTTATCCAGTCGATTTGAAAGTTTAAACTTGCTTGTGTCATGGATGACTAAGCAATTATTTATATCTCCTTGAGATCCTTTGACAATGTTATTCATGTTTTAGAACATTTTACATATGTTGTTTGCTCTGTGTGGGTGTGTCTATGTTTGGTTAAATCTTTTGGTATTCACATGTAACATTAAACGCTTTTCTTTTCCTTTTCTCTCCAGGTAAGTGGCTCAAGATCTCCGTCCAAGTGTTCGGCTACTGCTTGTGTCAACGAGATGATTAAATATGTATCATTTGGTTTGCATCACTTGATTCAGAAAATAATTGTACTAGAAGTCAGTTGGATGGATCGCTTGGAGTTCAGATTGCTCCTGTATTAGAAAAAAAAGAGCATGTTGTGATATCTGAAGTTCTACCGTGTTGGAACCGACTGTTATAGATTGAAAAACTTTAGATACTGTTTGTGGACCATTTTTAACATGTTTGTTCATCACATACATGAAATAGAAGTTGCATAAATTGTTTTTCCAATTGCATGGTTCATGAATTTGTGAATACATTATGGTTCTCTAAGCATCAGAATCTAGTTGCTTTACAGTTCTCTTGTGCTCGACTCCAATGCAGCAACAATTTTAGCATTAGCATCCATTGATTCAGGATTTTTATTTTGTTTTTCACATGTATATGTCTCTCCTATGAGAGACATTGATGGAAATGCTTTTTGAACTAGGGTGCATGTGATACATTGGACGAAATTTTGTACATAAACCAAAAGTGGCTCACTAATTGAGGGATACGGAGGCCATCATGTCAAAAGAATCATGTGATCGTTTGGTACTTTTACTGGTATTCTAGGGCGGCTTCCTTTGTTTTAGTACAAAAGTAAATTACAACGAGAGTTTGTGACGGACTTCTAGATTTCGAGTATCATATAAAACTTTACAAATTACAGAAAAATGTGAAGTCCAAATAGTTGGTTGAGGTTGAGAATGACCCAAATCTGCTGTAAAATTAGTCTCTCGATAAATATGGTGGAAATTTCGAACATGAACTTGTTCGTCAAGATAACTAATGTCCTACAAAATTGACAAAATTAGTTGTAGAGGAGAAATTCCTTTATTAACAAAACTAATTGAGAGTTGAGAATCTCCTTCAATAATTAGATTTGTGAGTAATGCTATTTAGACACGCAACATTGACCACTTTAGTTGACCACCTTATGTGGCAATTGATGTGTCATGACAAGTCAATTAATGAATGTCGTCATGTCAATTAAAAAACAAATTAAAAAACCCTAGCATTCTTAGTAAGTGGACTCATGGCAACATTCATTAATCGACATGGCATGACACATCAGTTGCCACATAAGGTGGTAAGCTAAGGTGGTCAATGTTGTGTGTCTAAATAGCATTACTCATACCCGAAACATAATGTCGGAAGAAATTCCAAATTAAGATTTGTATATTAGTCCCTACTCTTCGAGAGGGAACTTTGTTTTCTCTCATATGTGACACAATTGTGTAATTTAGCTAATAGTCTAAATTACACAGAGAAAACTTGTCAAATATTAAAAATAGAAAGAAAAATATATATACCGTCAAAATAAATTTACTAAATTAAGACCACTGAGGACTATATTGAAATTTGAATAGACCGGAAAAAGATTCAAAAATAATTTCCAAAAACAGGGATCCAATTAAATATTCCCAATCGGACAGCCCGTGAAAGCGGGAAGTACGTGGAGTGCCAAAACTACCCCCGCCACGTCTCCACGTGGTGGTAGGTGATCAGTGTGCGACTGGTAAACTGGTAAATAACTCTTGGACTTGCAGAGAAAGAGAGAGCTTCACTTCTTCAGTTCCAGTGAGCAACACACTGAAGAGCAAAGAGCCTCCTCTTTCAAAAAGTTTATAGCTTGGTTTTGCTTTGCCTTCTTTTTCTTCTTCTTCAATGTGGCAAGCGGTTTTAGCGGCAGCAGTAGCAGCCTCCACCGGGCTGCTTGCCAAAAATCACATCTTCAACTTCAAACCCGCCACTGATTCTTCCGATCCCACCACCGATCACAATGCGGAGCCCCACCCAAACCCTAACCCTAACCTCTCCATCGCTTCAGCATTTCAGTCTGAGCTGCCTCCCTGGGAGATCAGCGACTGCGAGGAGCAACCAGAAGGAACGATCTTTAGGTTTTCGAGCGAGGGTCGGGGCGAGAGTGGGACCCGGTTTCGCTTGAGAAAGGGGGCCCGGTCGAAGAAGAAGAAAGGGGTTGGTGTTGAGGCTGAGAGATCTAATGGTGCGGAACAGAGGAGGACTACTAGGAAAGTTGGCGTTTGCTTGAAGAAGAGGAAGACTGGGAAGAGTGTAGCTGCTGCCAAATGTGGATCGTCTTCTTCCGCAGGTTAGTTTTTTCAATTGTCCCTCTCTCGTTTCGTTTCTGTTTGGCTGCAGAGAAAATCATATGAGGGAAAGGGAAAAAGGGTTTTACTGTTGAACATAAAAATGATCAATCTTTATTATCACGATTGCTGAATCATGTAAATTTGGTGTCAACTGTCCGAATCTAATTAGGCTTTCAAGAGCCAAATTATTGGTCGCATTATATTCCCAATTAAAATTAACATTTCAACATCATTGTCCACCACGATGTAGGGCCGAGGTTCTTGGTATTTTTAATTTCAACTTTTTAAATATTGAAAAGCTTTACTTTACAACATATATCATGAGCCATGACCCAGCATTTGGAAAAGTAGAGTATTCTGGACGAGTATATAAACTCTTGCAAGTATAGAATATCTTTGCGAAGCCTTGAATCTTTCATTTGACATCTTATTGCTTTTGAAAAGGATTTGGTGGACCCTGATAGGTTTTTTGCTTTGGCACAGACCCTATTTAATTAAACATATCCAATTCTCTCTTGTGGTGATATTCTAGTTAAGTATAGGGCTATGGTCTTGCAGGCTATATTTTGTAACATGTTAGTCTTTCCTACAAAAAGACGGTGATGCTGGTTGTATGTTATGTGCAATACCGTTTGTTATGTTCAGAAAAGCATATTGCACAAGTTCCAGTAGGTTGAGTTCTGCAGGCAGGCAGTCTTGTATGAATTGGTACTGATGGTGCTAAGGTGGTTCCGAAAGGATAAAGAAGAATGTTGTATTAACAGATGATTCTTTAAGAAGAAGTGAATTCCAAATTCAAATGATTAAGTGCTAAGCATAATTGTCAAGAGATCTTTAAAGTTGCTCTTGAAATTCTAACAGAAATCAAAACGTGCATTTGATCTTAGTTACTGCAACTTTAACCCGTCAGCATTTTTGTATTAGTCTTCTAGAAGATTTTCCATGGGCTCGAACCTGTGTGGATTTTGTTAGCTTGTTTTAATTTTTGTGTCATAATTCACAAACATACTATTTCTGATGCTAGGAGTTTAACATTTCAGTTTAATCTTGTATATACTCTTCAGATACCTCCTTATTTAGTTGGGGACTTAATGTTGGGATCATGTACATGATGTCTGCTGGAAAAGCTGAGATCAATAAGCTGAACACAGCCATGGATGAGACTGCAAGAATTGTACATGAATTAAAATCGGAGCTTCATAAAAGAAAATCACCACAAAAGCTGCAAGCTTCAGGTTCTGCTAGTGAAGACAGTATGAACGATCAGACAACTAGTTACAAGCTTACTCATCCAGGACTAAACAAGTCAAGTTCAGAAAACAGAGGCCCCAATGACATGAGAATTTCCAGTTTTCCTGTGTCTGATGGCGAATGTGCAAGTAGTGTTCTTACGGAGGAGCAGGAGCCAGAGCCAGAAGTTATGGACATGGATCAATTGGAAGCAGAACTTGAGTCTGAACTTCAAAAACTTCCATGGTGCATCACGGAAGCTCCTCGCCAAGAGGGATTGAGTAATCTGGTTGAGGTCAGTCTTTTAACATCTTGTACTCTCTTTGAATAGGTTGATTTACCGTGAAGAGGTGTGCCATTATGCTGTTTCTATAATCTACAGCTAACACTTTCCAATCATATGTCGCATGCTATTTAGAAGTGTTTTTAAAATGCCCTTACTTAATATAAAGGATGCTGAACCAACAACTTTATCCTAGTTATTTACCAAGTAGAAACAACTTTATCCTAGTTGGATTGCAAAATCTTCACACCACTAAGATTTTAAGTACCACCCTTGATGTACCAAAACTGTGTTATATACCTTACTCTCTTTATCGTAACCTGATCACTATGAGATGTATGGATTGTGATTTTGTTCGTTTCTTTGGCGCAAAATGAAATGACAAATGCTACTGTAAATACCGAAATGGTGAAATTCATGTTATGCCTGCCTAACTGACTTTTCCTTTCTAATAAAAATGCATTTCCATTTTAGGATATTGTCCCTGAGCTAGAGGGACAGGGTGTTGATACTCAGCAGTTCCATGGAGTATTGCCAGCTCAACTAGATCAGAAACTATGCCATGTGCTCATCGAACAGCAGGAAAGCCAAATTGTGGAGCTGGAATCTGAACTTCACTCAGCCCAATCAAAACTCCAAGAGAAAGAAACTGAACTTCAATCATTGAAGGACTGCGTTAGACGCCTGACTGAGTTATCTCTTTCAAATGTCTCAGGCAAGGCTTCATTATTTCCTTTTAAGACCCTTTTTCTTTAAACAATTTTTTTTACTCTATTTGGTTCTTTGGCAATGAAAATTTTCTCCAAGACTCTAACAGAAGCATTGTTTCCCAGATGATGAAACCGAGACACGCAATGGACAAGAGCAAGCCACTGATTGGAATTACAACATGCAGAGATCTGAGTCAACAAAACCAACGGTTGGGATGAAGAGACCCTATTGAGTCTGAATCCAATGCATGATGAAACTGCTTCATATACAAGTAAGAAGGTAACTTAGTAATTTACTGGTAGACCATTGTGGGGTGGGGGATGCAGGCAGGCAGCAGACAAAAATGTCATGGGTGGGCCCCACCGATCCAGATCAAAGCAACCCTACATTTCCTGTGTGTACAAACATGCAAGTTATTACATCTTGTGGGCACCCTACATTTCCTCTGTTAGCAGTGTCAAAATTTGCAGCTGTTTTTCTTGCATTATGCAGTGCAGCCACATGTAATATTAAATTCTGATATGGTTTATTTAAAAAAGCCTAATTGTCTAGAGCACAATACTCTTATTTTAGTCTTTACCAAGTGATCCTTAAAATCCCATTTGCCTTGCTTGCCCTGCCTGTTTCTTTTTTGAGTGCCAGAAAAAGGAGTTCTGAAACCCAAGTTGACTTTTTGTTTTCTTGTTGGGGAAAGGATATCATTCAAATTCAGTAGCCCCCAGAAGCATTTCAAATTACCATATTGCACTGAGCACACTGCAGCTTGCTGTGAAATGAGTAAGGGCAAATATGGGAAAGTAATGTGAGACTTTTAGGGCGGTGGTAGTTGGGTGGTCTGGATGTGCAGAGAAACAATTGAATTGATAGGAAAGTGGAGCCACTAAAGTGGCGTGTTGGAGAATTGGCTTTCCCTATCCTAGGAACGATGAATTTTTGTGCACGTTTTGAGTCTCTCTCACAAAAAAAGTAGAGTTGGGTGACGCTTTACCTCACAATAATTAAGACCCTATGATTGTCAAGATGCATATAGGTATAATTTTGACTTAATGACATCTCTTTCTGTTGTTTTAATTTAGAATAATTATTACCTAGATTAGACCAATTGGTTAGGGCAATGAATCTATCTCCTACTACCCAAGTTCGAGTTCCCCTCTCTTTCATGTAGATTAGGTTAATTAAGAGTAAAAATACATTGCGTAAACACTTAAATTTGTCCAAAGCAGAAGCCAGTTGTTTTTGAATTGACCATTTCCATATTTTTCATAAGGTGGAGCTGATGATGTATGTGTTTGTTTTTGTTTGTTAATTGGAAAGTCTTCTTAGATGGAAATGTTTTGTGACCACCACAATCAAACCACATGTTCATACATGAATCCAATTGGATCTGAATGGTAAGAAAACATTTGGTTAGGCCTTTTATTGGTAGCTGATTAAGCAAGAGACTTTTTTGGTAGGTTATGATTTTTTTCCTTGAAAAGAAGCGGGCTTCCATCACCATTCAATCATAGCTTTGTTGAGTGAGAGACTTCGAGTGGACAACCTCTGAAAATATAATTCCATATATTAAGACCAAGAAAGAAAAAACCCAATTTTCATGAAGATCCAACGGCTCAGATTGCATGAAGATATACAGCACACATATCATCCACATGGGCTTTGTGTCACCTACGCTACAACAAAGTCCCAAAAACAACAGTTAAATATTGGAAAAACTGACCTCGAGAGCCAAAGACAACCCTACATAGCTACAGCCTTGAAAGATTAAAAAATCTTTACAGTCGATTCATCCATCCGTGCAAGGATAAAATACAAAATTCACACAGAAAAAACCCAGCAAAAAAAGAAAAAAGAAAAAAAGGAAGAAACAAAATTGAAGCTAAAACAGAGCTCCAGAGTCACCCATTTCCAGAGCCTTCTTCCTCAATCTCAAAAGGGTTGGGTCAAAAAAATGAAGCTATCTGCAAAACCCATATCGAGTCCGGGTCGAACCGATAAGTTCCCGCCGCCATTGATGAGGTTTCTGAGGACCAATGTTGGGAGCAGAAGCAGAGGGCGGTTACGTTCGAGCCCAATGTTTGTGAGGAAAAAAAACACCGCCATTGAAACCCAAGAGCCCTCTTCTCCTAAAGTCACGTGCATGGGGCAGGTCCGAGTCCGACGGTCCTCCAAGCAAGGCGGGTCAAAACCCCTAAGAGCCCGGCGGACCGGAGCTCCGACCCTACGACGGTGTAAATGGATCCAAAACGCCCTGCCTTGCCGCCATTTTCCAGGGAAAATCAAGCCCAAGTCTTTTGGACTCGTTTGGCGCAAGTGGGTACCGTTTTTTCAAGTGGGTTTTTGTAGGAAAGGCAAAATTAAAGAGGACCCGCCAAAGATTGAGTCGAAGTTTGGAGATGGAATTGAAGTTTCAGATGGGGAAGATGAAGAAGAAGACCAAGAATATGAAAGAAAGGCCAAAGCTTTCGTTTCTTCTTCTTCTTCTTCACCACCAAAGAACGCTTTGCTATTAACTCGATGCAGATCTGCGCCGTACAGGTCTTCATCTTTGGCCAGTAGATTTTGGGGCTCACCTATAAGAACTGAAGAAACAGAGGAAGAACAGAGCACAGAGACCCAAAACGGAGGAAATTGCACCGAGACCGAGAGACCCATATCAGAAAGAGAGTCCATTTCGGATCAAGAAACGAAATTAGACTCAGAAAGTGAAGAAAAGTTGAAAATTTTCAGGGAATTGGAGAGTTCAATCAGAGAAAGAATGGTCAAATCTGCAATTATCGAAGATAAAGACGAGGACTTTGGAGGCTCTGCTCGACCTCTAATACTCACAAGGTGTAAATCAGAACCAGCAAGAACAGCAGAGAAGCTCGACCCGGAGCTGAGCTTCTGGAGAAAGAGAAGGTTGGGTATTGTTGATTCATGCTCACCACCAAGTGTTTTGTGATTAATTAATTAAATTGTTAATTACTCTCATTAGTTTTTTCTCAGTTCTCTAATTCTTTTTTAAACACTGCACATAGTTTCTGAACACAAATTTTTTTAGTGATTAAAACTTAAAAAGTTTGTATTTTCACATTTGGGGCTGTACGAGGGAATCTCTCCATGGCTTTTTTCTATCTGTCTTTCTTTGGTAATATAAAAAGGTGAAGCTGGTCGTACAGTTGAAGCTGAAACAGTGAAAATCTGCTTTTGCTGTGTGTTTATTTTTGTTCATCTACAGAGACTCATAATCAACAACAACAGCAACAGCTCATGGGCATGGGCAGCTTTATTTATTGCCGTCTTTGATGCCATTGAATATTGAACTCAGCTTGTGTCTCGGATTTCTCAAAAACGCTTTTCGTGGAACTGTTTTCGGTGTTTTCTGCTTTCTGTGGCAATGGGGGGGGCCTTTGATTACCATTGGATACTCCTGACCTACTTTTTTCTATTTGATTAGCAGAAGCTATTGACTAAAATAGTAATTAACATAACCAGACGGTGGCCTACGTGTGCATTTAATACATGCTGCTTGATGTTGTTGTGGTAATGGATTTGGGTTTGTTTGTTGTGGCTTTTGAGATTAATTTGTTGAGTTTTATAATAAGATTAGCATAAAATTGGACTTCACAGTTGAATTGAAGAGCATTGTAAATTGGGTTAATTGTAAAGATTATCTCGGATTCTTGGAATGTAGTTGATATCTCGTGGTGGTGCTTATTTTGCAAGCATGTGGGTGAAAGGATTTTAAGACTTATCAAGTTTATGATACTGTTTAATTCTTTTGTGAAAGATACGTGGCCTAGTTCCAGTTGTAGGCTGTGAGGGGCCTCTTCATTTATTTCGAACGGATAAGGAAGAAAATTGATCACTTATTATCGGATAAGACTCTAATAACTCAATATTATCGGTGCATTGCGTTGGACTCTAATAAAAAAGAATGTGTGCGAAACACGTTATTTATAGTGAACTTCACAATTTATGTGTGACACTCTCAATTCGGTTAAAGTATCAATCATATTCGTATTTCTCGTAATAGAGAGTGCTAGTGTCAATCATGAAGGTAACCATAACTTTAAAGTTTGGATGTTAATTAAGCCAAGTATAATAAGATGTCACATGAAGCAAGCAAAGATTAGAGCATTAGGTCTTGGAAGCAAAGTGTGAGTGGAAGATCCAATCATGAGTTTGTGGCCTTACAAAAGCTTTTTTGGTACTAAAAAGAATTGGTTCTGCCCCTTTTGTACCATAAAAACGAAGAGGAAGATGTATGGTTATGGCAGATCATATGATACCAGTATTTACTGGCCTTATTCACCAAGACCACCAGATATGAGAGCAAGCCTCCTAAGAGAAATCTACAATGGCCCATTATCTATCATTATAATTTATATGCGCAGTCTGCAACTTCCAAATGTAATGTATTTTCAGATCATATATTGTAGTTGACTTGAGAGAACCTATATATATGTTTGGTTCTTTCATCTTGCAGATAGAGGTTTGGTGTTTCAAGTAACGTCTTCTTCAAACATTTGATCAGTACACCCATGATTCCATGAATATTCCACCCAACTCTAACAAAACAAAATCCAATTTTCAATTTTTCTGGCCCATGGCATTGGCTGATGCAAAAATTTGAAACCCCCCCCCTCTCCTCAAATAGATACTTAAAAAGCACGAAGCAAACTTGACGTGCATTTAGAAACCCCCTCAAATAGGAGAAACACTCTCATGCAACAGGAATAGCACTTAAAAAGCACAAACCAAACTTCTAGAAGCATCCTACGTTCTTACATGTAACTCAACTAGTTCATGGGTGGCCAAGAAGCATCCTAAAGTACAAGAAATCCAACATCAAACGAGTCATTTCTACTCCTTAATCCGTAGTTTACAAAAAGGGGTAGGTTAAGATGTGACAAATCAAATCCAATATAATCGTAAATTTGGAAAGGTCTCAGTTAAGATGTAGCGTATACGCATATATCTTATGGTTACAGTATCTCCAAAGAAAATATCAAATGAAAAGTATAAAATTTGAATTTGATGGTTTATATGGCAATTTCATGTTCACATGATAAATTGACATATCGGTAGGAAATATCAAATGATAAACCCTAGTTAACTTACTCGTTTGCGCAACCTCCTTCCTTGGTCTCATCTGTCTTTTGCTGATTTGAGCTATGCATCTAAATGCAAAACTCCCCTATGTTCTACCAACCTCTATTAACTCTCATCAAATCCGAAAAACAATAAATTGATTTGGTGTAGTTAAGTGATAGACTTGGACCCAATTATGCAAAGTAAGATAGACGCCACAAATTAAAGTGCAAATCCCATGACTAAAAAAAGGGACACGCACTGTGGTCTGAGAGAGAAGAAATACAAGAAATATGAGACATGCTGACAGGATCCGACCCAAATTCCACTTTGGAATCCGAGCCGAACCCTGTGCGTGTCCGACACCTGGCAAGTGCCGAGCACAAATGACCAA